ATTTATTTCAGATTCGTGTTGAAAATGCTAAATTACGATGTTTTAGGCAGGTTTGAAAGCAGCATTAGCTCGTGCTCCTGACAGTGCGATGGTTTTGCGCATGCGTCGAGCTGGAGGAGAAGGGATCGTGCTTCCGTTAGCATCCAGAGAGCTAACGGGCAGGTCTGGGGAAACAGGCTGTTGGGTAAGGCGTCCTGCGCAGTGGAGACCGACAGACAGATATTTATCGGCGCCTTCAGATGTCCCCAGTTAATCCTTGAGCCGACCATTATCCCTCCATGCTGACCAAGAAAGGAAGATAACGTTAATAGCCCTGCACTGCCGCTTCAATTAGCTTATCAAGACAGAAAAGGGAGACGGCTTTTTTTTGCTCTGAAGGAGGACTTTCCATTGGATAAAACCAGTTTACTTAAACAACAAGAATAAAGATAGGAGTACAGCAGCCTTAACTAATTTAAGGATGAAGTTAACGAGTAGCAGACATTGTGCGACTGAAGGAGATGGGAAGAAAATGGACCAGGCTCCCCCAGTCAGAAACCCTTTCGTGCACGTCTTGAAATTTACACCAATGGAAAAGGCGAAGGTAAGTGTTTGCATCGGGGATGATTTAAGTGAGTCCTGCATCTGTTATGCTGACACAATGTTATGGTTGGTTGTCGGACACGAACAGTTAAGTGCGACACTGTGATTGTGCTGTCATCATCGTGTAACCAGGCAGTTTTTCCAGCTTCCATTCAGTCAGCTGTGCTATACTACAAGCTAGTCTGCTAACATCAGCTACTTCTTCGGCTTCATGCAGCTCCATTTGCCATAGCCTCGTGTGTGTTTCCATTTTATTGTTGGTTGGTAGTGCAGATAGTTACCTGAGCTGCAGAACAAAAAGCATTTTACACACGCCAGTGTTGCACCAAATCAGTTTTTTTTGAAGCCTTCAAGCAAATACAGTTTTGGAGCATGGCCGCCCATTCATGTTTGGCCTAGCTTGTTGCTCCTTTTACTGTTTGTTTCCCCTTCTTCATCTTCTTTCGTACATGTTGCAAAAGCTTCTGTTAAATTCACACCTTGGGCTAACAGTTAATAATTTCTTATTTTAAACAATGAGAAGTTTTCAGCTTTTTGAGCTTTATTATGTTTGCTCACCCAAAGAAGCAGCTAACACGTGTGAACAAAATGATAAGAGACCATTTTACATCCGTGATTATGTTTTCATCATAATTGCTAATCCATTATTATTATTATTATTATTGTTATTGTTATTGTTATTGTTATTGTTATTG